GTGCTTAAAAGCCTGAATTTTGCCTGAAACTCTCAGACTGAAGAAGTCTCTTGGAGGAGAGACGAAACGTTTCATTAGAGAAGAACCCGTCCAGAAGACCAATACAATTTTTTTTCTTTTTGATTTTTTACCTGGATTACTGAGATACATCAGGACAAAATTTCAATACAATCAGCTAAAAATACAACACAGTCTTTACAACAAAAAGAGGAATCAAATATCAGTTTCCTCCACCCACGCTGATCAAGACAGAAAATAAACTGGGTGGGGTAAGGTGGAGCAGAGACCTGAACTCACGGTGTCTGATGTCAGGTCTGCAGGGTCCAGGGACATCTTGGCCACGGCTCGAGTGCAGTCTTTTCCAACCAGGGCGTTGTACGGAGCATTGTGTCCATAAAACTCTGAGAACAATAAATAAAATGGAGATTAAACTTCAGGCTCTGTGTTTATGTAATGAAATGGATGCAACAATAAAAGGAGACGGCAGAAAACTGGTTTGGGCTCAGAACAGGTTTTGAGATTTGTGAGGGTTATTGTTGCTATTTATTTATTTCTGTTTTCACCTAATTTTCACCTCTAAAAGCCTCTTTTAACTTCGTTTAAAATGCTCACAAATACCTTTTCCTTTAGTGACATCAAACACCACACCCTTTACTGCCATGTAAATAGGCTGACCCTCCTGAAGAGACAAGAAAGTGTAATCAATGAATCCTTACAACAAACACACAGCAGCACACCCACTGTAAGCCGCCTGCAACACGTCTCTGTGGGGTTACCTCGGTGCCGTCGTACCGCTTCAGCTCCTCCTCAGTGAACAGTCGCACTGGTTTAGTTGCTGCTTTGAATCTGAGTTTATCATCTTCTGCTAAAGTCGCAGACAGGAGAATTATCAGGACGAAAGTTCGCGCTGCTGCTGCCATGACAGGAACTTTGTTGGAGACTAGCCTGAACACAACTCTGAGCCCCGCCCAGCGGTGCTGCGTTTAGGAACCCTCGGAACTTTTAACTCATGTTAAAACGCGAGTTAATCATTAGTTTCATTTTGGTCATGGCATTGTTTTTTATTTTTATTTTTTATATCATTATAAAACAATATTTTATAGCTTTAAAACTTTTATTCTCTTCTGAGCAATAACTTTATGCAACAATTATTTCTATTTGTTTTGTTTACTAATTAAAAATTTAGATTTAGCTATTTGTGTTGTTGGTTTCCTACTTTCACTTTTTTAATATTCAGTTTTATAAGTAGCTAATTACCATTCATTTTAAACAAAATCAAAAGACATATATGCTTTGATCTATTATTTTATGAAATTTTCTATAAATAATTAAATCTGAAAGCTGTCACATTACAAAAATAATGTACAAAAACAAATAAAACACAGTGCTCCTCTATGTTTTGTGCAGCTTGTTTAAATTTTTAGGAGAATGTGGGGAGTGGTAGTTTAATTTTTCATGGATATTATAAAAAATAAAAGCCTCATCAGACTGCCATCTTAGAGCAGATGCTCTGTGTAATCTGTTTAGCAGGTGCAATGAAGTAACAACACCTTTAATTAATCATAACTTTCTAAATACTTCACTGATTTTCACCCTTTTTTGCTGCAAACTTTGTATACACAGCTATCACATCTGCAATGTTTTTAAGTTTTGTTTTTTACGTTTTGTTTAACTTTATTC